TGATCAACTTCGTAAGAGTTTTTTTTATCAATGAGCGATCTCATTCGAGTTACAACAGAGTAATATAATTGTTGAAGAAACATAATAATTAAATTATATCACGTTAGTATATAAAACACAACGTAGAGTACTTAACTACTACTTATAGGGTAACAACGGTCATCATCTTAGTCTCTATAGTAAAGCTATTTAAAATCTATTGTGTCGCAAAACTTGAGACATCTAAATCTGAGATTAAGACATAGAATAAATTGCATGTTATGTGGCAGGAAGCCATTCAAGAATAATATTAACAATGTACATTTTTTTTTCACTAATTTTCTGCTATTTATGGGTTGAAACCTATAATACATAACAGATCAGAAATTCAAATACTAACATCACTACATCCCTTTCCAAAAATAATTTCATACATTCTTATGCGTTTGCACAAGTTTTTTCATTGTTGGATATTAGTGGTGACTAGCTATAATTTGTTTTTTCTTGAATTGTAGATCACGTGAACCAAAAATATTACTGCAAGCTACATAACAAAGAATAACATTTCCAAATTTCATAAAAAAAAAATATGAAGCAAGTGTTAGAGAAAATTATAAACAATTAAATAGCAAAAGAACCACAAAAATTTCTAAAAATTGGCGTTGTTGTTAAGAAACTAAATTTGTTGTTAAGAAACTAAATTTGCTATCATCAAGATTCAAATTTGAGATCTCTCAGTCCTAAAAAAAGTCATTAGCATATAATAATTTTTTCACAGCAATATTAATTGATTTTGCTATTAATTTCATTATTTGATACAAGCATGATGGAGCAATATTATTATAGGAGAGGTGGGGTTGAGGCAAAAGTAGGGTTATTAATAGAGAATAATGGAGAGTGATAGAGTGACCAAATTTTAGCAAGATATGGTAATTATATATGCAATGGCAGAATCCCTGGTTTTGGAAAGTCCAATAAATGTGGCAGTTATGGGTATTAGGCAAGCCATATCTATTTTAAAAGTTGTAGCTATCAACCATTCCTTGTTGATGATGATGACAACTTGCATCTCTTCTAGTTTAAAGTTTTGGATTAGTGGAGAATGAAGCACAAGATCTTATGATCTAAAAGATTGCTATTGCTTTCCTAATTAACAAAAGTTCTTGTGATCTCGTGGAGAAGGAAGGACCATTATCCCACAAAGAGGAAAAAAAAAAAAAAAAAAAAAAAACCATTATCCACAAAGAGGAAAAAAAAAAAAAAAAAAAAAAAAAAAAAAAAGGACAATTAGCAAGAAAGTGTATCTCTTATTTATTGGTTGGGATAATAAGAATCCTGAAATAAGATTAGTCTCATATTTAAAATTGTACGTGTAAATCCAATATTTATATATGTACCTTTTATTTTATTGATTAAAAATCAATTTATATATAATGTAAAATGTTAGTTTCTTCTATAAATAACTCTATGCATACCATATAAGCCAAAGCTTATTAGTTATTATTTTCTTATGAATCTTTAAAATAATATAGTGTGCATATACTAGAATATAAAATTTTTTCTTAGTAATTACTATAAGTATGTGATTCAGGATATCATTCTATTTCCATATGATAGGATACATATTGGATTCCATTCTTAGAAGGAAAGGGAGGAAAAAGCACCAAAAGATTGGCACAATCTCTTTTTTTTTTTTTTTTTTTTTTTTTTTTTTTTTTTTTTTTTTTTTTTTTTTTGTCTATTGGGAGGTTTTATGGCTAGGATAATATTGTTTGCTAGATAATAAGATATTTTTATTACATATATCTAATATTTTTTTGGTACAATCAAAAAGGTGTAATCTCCCTCGAGCTATAGAGTGTAAAAGTTTTTGAGTGCTTCCCGGAACTCGAATATGTGTTCCCACCTCACGGGAATTGAGGTTATTTACTATCCTAATTAACATCTTATTGATTACATATATCCAATATTAATAAGACATAAACACCGGAACTTTTAAGTGGGATACTGAATGAATAGACATGATCACGATTCATTCCAAATGAAAATCAAACTGAAACCAAACGTATCAAAAACAAAATCAAACCATGGCAACAGTGAAGGTTTTAAATCGTACCAGAAATTTAATATTTACAGTTTGATTTCATTTTTTTTTATTAAATCAAAACTATCGATTTGTGTTTAGAACTAATTGTTTCAGTTTGACACTGTTAAAAAAAAAATTGCACTTGACTTATAAATTTTAAAATTAAATTTAAACTTTCACCATTAAATTTAATAATTAACGTCACCTCAAAATTTATTAAAATAAATGTAACTTATTGTAAGTGAGAAAAGTGTGAAAAAAATAAAAAAAAAACTCCATTTAAATGTTTTTAATTTATATTTTTTTACAACTTATATTATAATATTTATAAATTAAGTCCTAAGTCCTATTTTTTCTCTCTTTCAACTACTATCAAAAAAATTTCAAATTTATTTTTGTTTTGTTATAATTTTTTAAATAAATTTTAAAGCCTTTTATTTACCCTTTTAGTCTTTTTTAATACTATAATGTATTATTACTTTTTTTTATTATTTACACATGCTAGAAAATTAAAAAAAAGTTAAAGAACTTGAAAAAAATTATCTAATTTCGAGTTCAAATCAGAATATATGGTTTTGAAATCGTCTATAAAATTATTTAAAAGCGATGGTGTTACAATTTCACTATTTTTAAAACTAGAATCGACAATTTTAGAATCAAGTTCATGCCTAAAATAAAACTTTGACTTTAGTTAGCAGACTAAGATGCGATTCGCATCATCTTAATTTGTTTCATATATATAATGATTTTCACATTTTCAAGCCTAAGTTTACTAAGTTTACTATTTTATTTTCAACAACCCTATGTTGCTAGAACAATGATGACATTGAAGAAAAATTCAAGGATTTAAATTCCTTTTTTTTTTTTTTCCTATTGCTAAGAGTACAAAGAGATTACCATGATTATGAATTTAATAACTTGCTTTTGTGTCATGTTGAGATTTGTACAAGCTAAGTTATAACTAAATGAGATTTGATTCCTCAAAATCCCACGCGAATAAATATGCAGCTTAATTTTTGAAAAAAAAGCACAAATCCTTTTTTTCATTAATTTTATTTCATAATTTTTTAAATTTTAAACCAAAAATGCCCTCTAATTTGTAAATTATAAAATTATATGAACCGTTCGAAATCGTTAAAGAACCTTAACTAAAACCAAAATCATGACGTTGCGATGCAGTTCCAATTTCAAATTTTTTGAAACCGAATAACAACTTTAAAATTAAAATCGGTAGTTCTAAAGAGTGACACTTTTATAGTTTAGAACCGGGAACCATTCACTATAGTTTAATGTCGATACAATTTCAATTCATTTCAGATTTGAACCAAATCATGTTCATGCCTAGTACATGTAATTCATGGTCTGAACATAAAATTTGTAATCACCGTGTTTATAAAAATTCTTTTGAATTAAGAGAGACCTATATTATAACTAATGACATTATTAAAGAATTAATATTTAAATTTACCAGCTCAATTAATAATCTCAAGAAATACTATTTTATAATTAATATAAAAAGAAACTAATATTTCAATTTAATTATAATCCTAATTAAAATTTTATATAAAAGTAATTATCACTAAGATTAATATTTAAATTCAATTAAAACTTCTCATATTTAAATTTAAATTTATTATTAAAAAATATTAAATCACGAGTATCACGATTCCAAGGTGCATTTTTTTTAATATATATGTCATGGCAAGGCATATAATAATTGAATAAATAATTGTCACGTACCATTTTAAAACAGGGGTTTTGGTGCCAAGCAATATATGCACTTTGCAGATTGTTGGATCCATCAGGTGCTGTACCAACAAACACGTGTGATTCCACTTTGTTTCCGGTTTAATTAATATATGCAAATATTAATTAATTAACAATAAATAATATTCATAGAGGCTAATTACATTAACTGGCATACACATTAGTTTACATGACAAACTTATAATTGAAAAATGCGTAAACTGAATAACTTCTAATAAAAACAAAAAATCATACCTATTGATTGAATTTATGTTATCTTGAAAATAAAATTTATATTTATTAATTTTATGAATAAAAATATTTAATAAAATAATTTTATTTAATAATATTTAATAAAATAATTTTATAAATTAAAGATGTTCATTAAATTAAATTAAAACTATAATTTTTAATATAAAGTTGACCCATGAAAGTAATTTCTCTATGAGATTTTATAAGTCCAAGTGCTTATAACTAACTTATAAATGTGACATATTCCGTATATTAATTATTCTTTTTTGCCTAATAATAATATTAGTTGTTTTAGTATATATTAATTTTAATAATTGTTAATTGTTAGCTATTATTTTTTAGCTGGTAGTTGAGCATTTGGTAAAAATTAATAGTTTAGCTTAAAATGATAAGAAAAAACATTAGCTATTTAATTAGTTGAATTAAATAATGAATATGATTGTCAAGAAAATTAATTAATTTCTGTAAAACGCTAAATATTAGAGTGTCTAATATTTCATAAAAACGTTTAAAAACTATTGTTAATAGGGAACAGTAAAAGCTAATTCAAAAGTTGTTGTCGAACACGATAATTATATATAATTTTAAAATAAATAATATTTCTTTAATTTTAAAACAATAAGGTATAATTGCAAAAAAGGAAAAAAAAATCTTTAGCAAATACTTGAATTTTAGAATAAATAGGATTAAAAAATCGAAGTTTTTACGTAATGTAGTTGTGGTCCTGTTGGTAGTTGTGAGCTGTGAGAAGGTGCTTTAGGGCAATTTTAGGGGTTGCAATTGCAAACAAACATACAGTGCTCTTTTTGAAAAGGGTCCCACACCCAACTAAGCCTTTCATTTCTTGTCTTGCCCCCCCATACCTTCAACCTTCAGATCCCTTCCTTTAAAACCACTTCATTTCCCTCTTTTCTAATTATAAATGAGTGGTCACTGATTGCACAAATTTCTGCAGATGCCCTCCATTTCTCAACTACTCTCCTATTTCTCTGTCTCTTTCTCTTCTTTCTGCCTTTTTCTTGGCTGGAGTTGCAGAGAGAATGGGGTGTGTGAGCAAGATGGAGAAGCAGGGCACGTGCATTACTAACTCATGCACATATATACACATTTTGTTATCACTTTCGCTGAAAAGGGTGTGAGTTAGTTTTTCATGTGCCCGTCTTCCCCATCATGACCACTTCACCTACCTATTGATTCTTACTGCCTGTTTTTCAAGCTCGATTCACCATTTCAGGTCAGTCTTATATACTATCTTTATCTTTATATCATCATATATTCTTCATATTTATGAAATTTTACTTTTTTCTTAAACTTCGATAATTATTTTCAATTCAAATTCCTAACTTTACAATTTCTGTAGGATATTAGCAATGAATAGAATTGAAGTTGACATGTCAATTACAGGATTGCCTTTAATTTTCTGGTTTGCATTAGCGGTTGAAATAGTGGTTAATATCAAAACAGGACAATGAGTTTACGTTGTTCAAAATTGGCATACAACAAATATGGTGGTTCAGATACTTTATGCTTCACCTACCAAAGAAAAGTGGCTGCATTGATCATATCCACCAGTTTCGGATCGATCAATTTGGAATTTTCTAAAGCTATGTATCTCTAATTAGAGAAGGCAGAGTAAGACTCAAAAACTAAAGGGGCGAACTAAGAAATATGTTCAACCATTAGGGGTCAAATTGAAAAAATAAAAAATTTACAGTTTTGGGTGTAGGGTTCCTTCCAGCCCCCTTACCTCCCCTTCTCAAACAAAAATAATCTTATTTCTTATTGTTTAATTATGAAGTGGTGATTTAGATTGGTGAAATGTAAAATTGAAAATTGTTATATAGTCCCTTGATTTTTCTCAAATGCATTAGTGAGGACATCAATTTTCAAAATTAAACTATTTAATATCTATATTATAATTTCATCTATGTTAGTTTTTCCATTAAGTGGCCGTGAAATATCAAAAGTACTTCTCAAATAAATTACTTTATAGTCCTTACAATTTGGTGAAACACATTAATAAGGACCTCAATATTCATAGCTTTGCACTATCTAGTCCATATACAGAAATTACCTTTAAGAGTATTTTTGATATTTCACTACCACTTAATTGAAAAATTAATCGTTGGACGTAATATTATAACACAATTAAATAGTATAATCTTAAAAACTATTTCCTTACTAATATATTTGACAAAAATCTAGGTACTTTGTATATAATTTAAGGTTTATCTTTTATATCATCATTCTTCATATTTATTTATTTATTTATTTTTTTGGCTAAACTTGTCAATTATTTTCGATTCGACCCATTTCAAATTCCTAACTGTATAATTTCTGTAGGATAGTTTAGTAACAATACGCCTTTTCTTTTCTTTTTCTTTTCATTGATGGAACTTGCCTAAATTATTCTACACGGTGAGGGAGCAAAATTTCTTTTCTAACATAAATGGATACGACAATCTAGCATAGGATAAAGATCAAGAATTGAAAATGTCCAACGAACGAATATGTAATTTTCAAAGCAATCAGTGAGTAACTTCAAACTATATGTTATCAATATGAGATAGAACTTTGACTGAAGCATTAGCCTAGTAACTCTGTATATATAGTGTCATTATCATAAAACGTGAATTTTAATTTCCATGAGTGGTCATATTTCTCTGCCTGCAATCTCTCTCTCTCTCTCTCTCTATCCCTATTGGGTATTACATATTCTATGTTAAGACAGACAAGTTTTTCTTACAAATTTTATGGTTACAAATCGTTTTGAATATTATTAGGATGATTACCTGTATAAACCTATACAATTCTATATGTATATTGACAATAAATAAAGCTGCTACTTGAATAGTTGCTTGTTCTATTGAGTGTTGACAACCTAAATCATTAAAGGTTGTCAACGCTTACTAACAATTAACAGCAAAAAAGTATTCTTTTTGAACAGAATGATTAAGGCTTTGTTACACAACAATATATTATTTTCGTTATATAATACTTGTTACATTTGAAAAAATAGTATGGTTTAAAATATTTGTTACATTTGTGGTTTCAAGGAGTAATAAATATTATTTTTCATGTTTACCATTTATATATAACCAATAATTATTATGTCAATTTAATTATTTTCTTAGAGAAATAGTATTAAATTAAGGAAAATACAGTCAATTTACTCAATAATTTATTGTAACTTAGACAAATTTAATGGTTTTCTTAAGGGACGTGAAATTCCAAACATAACAAGTATTATAGAATAAATGTGGTAAGTATTTAGAATAACTTTTAGAGATTGATGGAGTTTTTTATTAGACGTTAATATTCTAACATTTAGTGTTTTATAGAAATTAATTAATTAATAAAATTAACATTTAGACATTAAACACTCTAACAAAGGAGGTGCTTCTTTGTTTTTTAATTAGGTGAAGCAGTCAGCGAACCAATATGTTCATATATTAGCCTGAGTAGCTGGTTTTATATTTAGTTTGATGGAGTGGAATCATGTCCCTCCATCTATTATCCAGGATGTGTTAGAATTTGAACTCGATAAATAAGTAACATGATTTTTCAAAAGAAAAAAAATAATTGAGATCTAAATTCTAAATTGAGCAATGTGAAACTTATGGATATGATCCATGCATGCAGCCACTTTTCTTTGGTAGGTGAAGCATAAAATATATTCAATTTTTTGAGCCACCTTTTTTGTTGTGTGCCTATTTTGATGCTAAGCATTATTTCAACCCCTAATGCAAACCAGAATATTAACTCTGCTTTAAGAAAAAGCAAATCCTGTAATTGACCATATCAGCTTCAATTCTATTCGGTAATGATGAATTTTGAAAAAGTGTGTAATAATTCTACTAATGTTCTTCATTTCTACTTAAGTTGAAAAAAATTTATCAGTTAAGCCGGAAAAGTTTAATTCAAGTTTGAAAATTTGAGTCTCTCTACTTTAATTTTTTTAAAAAGAAAATTATTATTGAGCGAGTATTAGAATTCAAACAATCTTTTACAAGGAGGAGACAAAATTTTAATTATGAGTCATTAGTAGGATTATTAATGCTAATTTATGGTGAAGACGTTGAATTTCAATTGTGCTTTAATCATTTGCTCTCTTAACATTTATGTCTAATATCTTATTCCCTGACTTTAAAATCTAGTTTCACTTCCTATCTCTAATTAAATCTAAAATAGTTTATGAGTTAATCTAAGATTATATATGAGTCAAACTACTCGTGAATTATTCTGAATTTGATTTGATAAAAATTCATTCGAACTCGTTTGACAAATTTATTAAGCCAAGCTCGAGCAGAACTATCAAGCTCACAAGCCCAGCTCAACTTGGCTTGATTCGACTCCTTTGCAACACTACATACATACCCATCCAAGATGCGGGATAGATCCATGAAAGGTAAGCTTAGCAATTAGCACTAGTTTTATGGGTCCATTCAAATGAGTGGTTAAGAACCAATATTTAGCATTTTTCCTTCCCAATGACTCGTAATCATTGGTTTGGTGATTCAAAATTACAAGTGATCGTCAACTATTAATACTAATCGTTCACCATTAGTGTCTGTACGCACACATGCTCTCTCTATAATTCTTGGTAATGGCCAACTTGAAAAAGATAGTTGGCATTTGGTAATTGAACTCGTTAGAGATAACGGTTTCAACATATGGCAAAAATCTACTTTCAGGAGAGCTTGTTTTAGCTAACAATAACATAGATAGATACAGTTATCCTTTTCCACATTCCAAGAAGAAAAGGATCAACAATCAATGTTGAAATTATGTTATATAACTTAAAAAAATTCTTGCATCTTCTTCTCTCCCTCTGGACTCAGGAGCATATTAAAACAAAATGAAAATTATTACTGCAGGTTTTTTAAACGTTAGCAATTGGGGTAAATGAGATTCTACTAAGCAAGCTTCCAGGTTAGCCTGGCTTGGTACGACTGCATTTCTCAGCTGGTGGTTTTTTGTTTCATATGCCTGTCAATCTGTTAAATTGGTTCCCAGTCTTTACCATATTTTCTGAGATGACCTCGTTAAACCTAAATCTTTGTTCCCGCTCTCCTGACAGACGCCCACCTGCTCTAGCCGGCAATTTGAACAACTATTTTCTTAATTTGACCTTCCAAAGTATATTCTCCCAGTCATTCGTCAGGCATCCTTTGGTTCTTCAATTTGTCTTTGTGAATAGTTTAATTTCTCAATTTTGCAAGTCCTTCAGAATTTGAGGTGTTAGACTTTTTAAGTAGAAATTAAAGTCTTTAGCTTAAACTCTTTAAAGCCTGCGTTTGGGATAAATAAATTTTAGAAAATTTTGTGGAATTTATTTAGAAATCTAAAATGTTGTGTTTGAAATCAAAAAAAATTATATATTTAAATTCTATGAATTGAATTCTACGGAATTGGTATGCCTAACTCAAATTCTACTAAAATTGATAAAATTTGTAAATAAATTTCACAAAATTGACCATTGAAATGTTTATTAACAAAATTACCTTCCACTATAATCTTAACTATTTCTACTTTTTTTTTTTATATTTTATTTATTTTCTTTGGAAATTTCAAACTATAACGACGTTATTTCATTAATGACGTTAATTTATATTTATATTCTTTTTCCTTTTTTTTTTTTTACTTTTTTTTTTATATTTTTTATTTATTTTCTTTGGAAATTTCATAACTATAACGACGTTTAATTTCAATTAATGACGTTTATTTAATATTTAATATTCTTTTTGCCTTTTTTTTTTTTTGAAAAAATTTAAATTTCAAACTAGTAATGATGTTTTTTTTTTTTTTAAGTCTAGTAATAACATTAGTTATTATTACTGTGAAACTATAAAAACTGAGTATCAACAATTATTTTCAAATGCAATTAAAAACAACAATAACATTCTTATTTTTTTTTTAGTTTTGAAATTAATTACTTAAATCAACAAAATTTTTTACATCAATTAAAAATAATTGTTATGATGAATGTTACTGGTTATATAATTAATTAATTAACGTGGAATATTAGTGTACTTATTTATATGAAATCTATTATTTATATTTTAATAAAAAAAAGTTATTATATTGTGCATAATAAATATAATTGATGATTGTTATTTATTTTTATTAAATTAGTATGTCAAGGGTGTTTTAAGAAATAAAGACAAATGAATTAAATAAAGACAAATGAATTTTGTATTCAAGAATTTATTTCGCAAACATCAGTTTTTGTGGAATTCAATTGAATTTCTTTATTTTAAGATTTAGCATACTAATATGAAACAAATTCATTTACAAATGAATTCCAAGAAACTATGATTGAATTTGTTCCAAAAATGCCTCCTTAAACTTATTATATTGTGCATAATAAATATAATTGATGATTGTTATTTATTTTTATTAAATTAGTATGTCAAGGGTGTTTTAAGAAATAAAGACAAATGAATTTTTATTCAAGAATTTATTCCAAACATAGTTTTGTGGAATTCAATTGAATTCTTTATTTTAGATTGTAGCATACTAAATATGACAAATTCATTTACAAATGAATTCAAGAACTATGATTGATTTGTTCCAAAAATGCTCTTAAACCATAAATCAATGTTTTGAAAATCGAACTGGACATTGAATTAGCTTGATGAATGGATCACAGTTGGATCATGTCAACTTGGTTTAACCGGATATTTTAATTTTTAATTTTTTTTACAATAACTTGTAAAAAATTAATATTCTCATTAAGAATTTTATTAATGGAAAAGTAATAATATAATTATAAATGTATAATTATTTTTCAAACCATTTATCATCTAATATTAACATATGACTACTAATTTCATTGCCATTCATTATCCAAACCAAATATTATATATTCAATATAATAATATAGTCATCAAAATATAAGTTATTCAAATGTTATAATAATCATTCATAAATCACACAAAATATAAAAATATTTATGTGCTAATTAGATTATATTTTTATCATTTTTAAGTAAATAAATAAATAATTATGAGTTATAATATAATAACTTCTAAAAAATTAGGTAAACTATATTGAAGTTTGTGGATTCCAAGGTTTGAATTCACGACCTCTTTTAAAAAGTCTTTCGTGTCTTAGAACAATTTAGTTTATAGTGAAAAATTTAACAATTCTTTTGCTCAGAATTAAAGCTGCCCTGTTGTAGAAAAAACCAGACCATATCGAACCAGACCAGAAACCAGTTCGCAGAGTTAAACCGTCTGACCAGCTGGTCCAGTTTTCAAAACACTGCTGTGCAGCGTAAACCTTTTGCCATCACACTAGGATTCTTGAACTGATCAGTTTGTGTTGGTTGGAATGATATTTCAAGAAAAACTTCGTTGATGTTTTGTAGGCTTTTTATGCAATTCTCACTTCAGAAATCTTGGCGTAATGGCAAAGTGTTCACAATACAAAGATTAAATAGAGAGAGGAAGTAGAGAGAGAGAGAGAGAGAACATAATCTTAAAAAAAGAAATTGTTATAATAGGTTTCAAACTTCCTTGTTCCAAATTCCAATGTATACGTTATCGAGACAGAAAATAACTAAAATAGACCTCTTACAGGTTTGTATTTTTAAACCGGACCAACATGCTTGGTTTGTGCAGTCAACTTGCTCCAGGAAGGCGTCGTGAAGTGCATTATTCAGGACTAAATGTCTCCTGTAAAGCAAGGAACTGGTGGATTTTACATAAGCCACCTGCAAAAACCATACTACAAAAGATGCAATTCAGCTTGCGAAACATTAATCCCATACTTATTGAGACTGCTGCAAGAATCAGTTTCAGTATTCAACTATACATATCATGGAATGGAACACAGGAAAATTTAGAAACAAAATGGGTAGTTCGCCTAACCACCAACATTTTACGTACTAACCTTCAAACTTCAACTATTTACAAGAACAATTTAGACATTTATCCTTTGCTGTTTCCCACAGTTCATCTTCAACTCAAATGATAGACACAATCGGTAGTAAATTAATTTGATGTTGCTGAAAAGGAAAGTAAAGAGAGGAAATGAGGGCATTAGTGTTGAATTTGAAAGTTAATAAATTTAATGGAAATTAATTAATTAAAAAGCAAAACAGATTAGCAAATCATTGTTGGGTAATTAAAGTATTTAGTAAATGAAAACACACAAGTCAAGTGCATAAGTTATGTTCAGACTCAGAGAAGGCTGTAATATTGACTACCAACAGGATGCAGCAAAAACAGTGACCACAAATTGATGCACACAACTGTATCCACGTGCCATCTTATCCTTAACTAAGAGATACATACATGAATTGAATATTGGGCTTCAGTGATGAAGATAGCATTTTTAGTTCATTGGTTATTCAGAGAATTATAAAATTTCTTCCTTTTGATTAAATTTATAATCTGCATTAGCAGTTCGGTTCCATTTTCTGCAATCATGACATTTATAGATCCTACTAAATATTCCAGTTATGCTAAACTTGTAAAATTTGTGAATAAAGAATAGTCTATGTGTGGCATGGAATGTGTAGGATTCCTAGAGGCATACCATCAGGAATGCTTACTTGAATGATTGATTCACAGAAAAAAACCCGTAGCAGACCATATACATCTGAAAATGCAACAGGAATCCAAGAGTGCTAAAACCATGTCAGTACCTTCAGCAACTTGACTGGCCAGCTGAAGTCGAGAATAATTGGCAGTAAGTCCATGAGTTCAACTGATATTTGGTTTGAAATTATAGTTCTGATAACTTGATTGAGTTTGTCTTGTGTCCGCCAAACAAATCAGTTCTCCAGAACATTAGCATAGCAGAATGTCAAGCAGACAGGTTCTAGCTATGCACATAGTTTTGTTTTTTATCCACCAGCCCGATGAAAGTATCCTCTGCAAAATTAATATAGGATCTTGAGCTAAGGAGAACTTTCCAAACTCTAACTCCAGGTGCAACATTCTTCAAAGCCATTTTCTCAAGTAATTCCAGTGCTTTAGAGATTGAGCCAATTTGGCATAATCCACAAATTATCTCATCAAAAATCAAACTTTCAGCACATAAACCCTTATCCAATACTTCATCCAACAAAGCACAAGCTTCAATAATTTTTCCACTACAAGTCGAACCATCAATCATAACCTTGTATGTCTGCATACTAGGCCCAATGCCTTTTTTACCCATCTCCTTCATCAGGTCCCTTGCTCTGCTAATTTCTCCGCTCTTGCATAATGCCTCCAATAATAAATTATAAGTAATCAAATTAGGTTTGCATCCTAACTCCTCCATAGAAGCTATCATTTTAATTCCTGCGTGTAAATTTTCTTGTTTACACAAGCCATCTACATATGCATTGTAAGTGTACACATCAGGGACCAAACCAAATACAAGCAATTCATCAAACAGATCATCTGCCTTTGAATAAAACCCATTCGCAATAACCCCTTTCAAGACCATAGTATAGCAAACAACATCAGGTTTAATTCCATCAATCTTCATCTGATTCAAAACATCCAAAGCATCCATACCCATTCCGCCTCTCACTAAAAACCTAATTACGTTACTATAATCAACCATTCCTGGACAAAAACCCAATTTCCTTAATTGCCCTAAAAATCCCATAACATCAACCCTAGACACATCTGCCTGTTCACAAACTGACGACAATAGCAAAGAACATATTTTTGTGTCAACATCAAACCCGTCATTTATCATACAATTAAATATCTCAACAGCATAGCCTACCTTCTTAATTTTACAAATGGCAGCAGTCAGCAATCGAAAGCTCGAATCTTCTAATCGAATACCCATAACCCGACTCCTCAACAAAATTTCAGGTACCCTTTCGAGACCTTGACTGGATCTACAAAGAACTGAGAGCAGAGTATTAAGCGAGTAAACAGAAGGCAAGCACCTGAACTTGGGTATTCTATAAAAAAGCTCAATAGCTTTTTGAATTTCATTAGCGTTGCCATAAAATTTAATAAGATGGGCTAAAATGAATTCGGGTGTCTCGAAATTTTCAATCTTTTCAAGATGGTCAAGAACCAAGGGGATGTAGTGGAGCTGGGTAGTTTCGGTTAGGGTTTTGATGAGAAAGTGAAAAGCTTGAGGAGTGGGTTCGGAATTATAGACACTAAAGGAGTGGATAAGAGAGGACAGAAGATTAGAGCTTTTAGAATTTTGTTGGAGGTTTTGTAGTGAAGTGGCTTCTTGTTTGAGGTTTTGCATAGCTTGTTGTTGATTGAAAATATGGTGCCATTTGGCTTTGTAAGGTGAGTGTGGCCATCTCCTGTGTTTTCTCAAGAAAAGCCTACCTGCTTTGAAAGAAGAGGATCTAACCATGTTGAACAAAGGGGAAGACCAGAAAAGAGGAAATTATATTGACATGTTGGGTTTCATGTTTGTTACAATGCTTCAGTTGGAAACTTGGAATGTCAATTAGCCCAAACGAGAACGTCAATGCCTCATCAAATAAATATATATGCATAAAAATTGAAGTAAACATATATGTATAAAAATTGGAAAATATTTTGTGTACATAAAAATAAATGCTAACAATTCGAACAAATATCATTATTTTGTATTAAATCAACATGGGAAAAAAAAAAAAAACACTGATATCGAAGCATTTGCAATTTAAAAAAACTACATATACAATGGTAAATATTTGCGATTTGCTTCAATGTGGATGATCTATTTTTAATCAAAACCTAAAATGCAAACTAATATGATACTAGCAAGCTAACTCTTTCACGGTATTACCTCATCTAAAAACAATTTCTTTTTAACACTCAGTTAGTGGTGCCAAGCAAAAGTAATGAAAAAAATTTTCACAATATAAGGGTGCTAAAATTGAAAAAAAATTCACTATTTTATTAATAAAATTAAAGTTTTCTATATTTTAGGGTATAACTGTTTTTAAAAAATTTTGTGTTAGGGGGCAGGGGCAACAGCTGGGGCCGCCGCTGGGTTTGAGGCTGTGGCTGCGGCTGCGGCTGGGCCTACGGCTGCGGCTGAGGCTGGCCCTGGCGCCCCGCTCCCTCCGTCATTGTTGCCAGTTAACAAGCTTTGAAATGGTGGTTGACTGTAAGTTCCATTAAGAAACATGTTAGCAAGCACCTTATTCATGGCTTCAGTGAGATGAACTCCATCCCAATTAATATATTCATTAGGATTTGCACATGCACTAGTTGTGTTAGCTGTGCCACAAGAAGCAGGCAGAGTAAAGTTGAGAGGTGGATTTCCTGATCCACAACATGCCATGAACTTTTCTTTGAACCCATAACTTTCTGCATTCTTTACAGTATCTATATAAGCCTTATAGTAATCAAGATAAACAATGATAGCATTTGGAAATTGCTTCCTGAGTTCTTCCAATTTTTCTTGATAAAGAACATTATGAGTGTTGCTTTGGTTATTTCCGTTCTTTCCACAACCAATATCATCTTTATCATTTGGCGGAGCCACAAACAGATTTGCTGTTAAGCATCCAATTGGAGGTAAACCTTGAACAGCAATTGATTTCAAACCTTTGCTCAATAGCGCCTGCAATTTAAATATCATATACATCATTAAGAATATCTTGAAATAGAAACAGAAAGACAAGGCAATTTTAAATTCAATCACCTGTATGGCTGTGATTGCGCTGCTAACTGCATGCTCTCGAATAGTATCTTTTGAGAATGAAGATGGAAAAGAAATTGCATAATCATTAGCTCCCGTTTCTCCAAACCAAATCAACGAATCTTCAAGCAGCCCACTACATTCAGAACTGGATGAAACCGACCCTTTACATCCTTTCTTTTCCAAGAACTCGTTGAAGCAATTGATCTGATTTTGAATGGACGTTAAATTAAAAGCAGAACTAATATTGTTCTTAACAAAGAATTCATGTTCTATAGCCGTAGAGCCGGAGACAGCAAAATTCAACCCCTGATCGGTTTTATTGCCTTCAAGATAAAGGTAAGGAGGCAAAGGCGGTAATGACAATGCTTCCGCCACAAAGTCAATTACAATCCGCCCGTCACAATATCGGCCACTAGGTTTGAGAAAGAAAGTGCTGCCGTATGGAGGACTAGAGACATGGTTAAAACCACCAGGACCCGACGATGGAGGTCTAGTGTTCCCGGTGTCTGTGAACGAATCCCCGAAAGCATAGATTTTTTTTATGGAAGAATTTGGATTTGTTTGAGTATCGGCGGCCAAACCAAAATTTGAATTGAGAAAGATTTGTGCTAGAACGAGTGTGATTTTGAAAGGTCTAAATGTAAGAGAAGCCATTGAAATGAAGAAGGTTTATTTCCTCTTCTGCATATAACTTACTTATTCTTTCTCGTCAAATTTTAGTTAGCACGCATTTCGTAAATGCATCGCGCTCCGGTTGTTACTATCAACAAGGTTATTACTATAATAAGATATGTGGTGCAGCTATTGGCAAAACAAGTATAGCTATCGATTGACATTTTCTATTTGACATTTCATCGAACAAGGTTGTAACAGTTTAACCTTTACATCAAAATTGATATAAGAGAAAAGGAGTAATCAAGTTTGAAATTCGAATCTCTTATATTACACATAAATATTTCACCACAAAATTATTATTGCAATAATATAGGTCAGTAAGCCAAAAAGTTTCCTGATTGAATTATCGTATGAAAAATTATCTTACGCAGAAAAGTGAAATTTTATGATTTTAATTTTCAACCGTCCATTCATTTTAGTTAGATTTCAATTAAAAAAAAAAAAATACTTACATCCAATAAGTTTTTATATATAAAGTGATGAACTTTTTTTAAAAAAAAAATTTACATTAAAAATGATTGATTCACTAAATTGACAGTTTCAGATCAATTAATATCAAAATCAAAATCAAAATCAGTTCTTTCAGTCGTGAATTGATTTTGATCTCTGCGTAGGTCTCACAAACCAAAGATTTATAAACAAAAAGCAATGTCTGTTGTTTCAAAAACATAATGTATCAAAAGTACTTCAATATTGTACTCTTCTTGACCTGGTCCTCCTATATATATATATATATATATAAGGCCCTTGTTGCGTATATAAGATCAGAATCCGTTTTCTTAGAAGACAGACACACTTAATAACCAAGAATTAAACAATGGTTTTCTTAATTTATCCCTTAAGACACTAGTTTTATTTATCTTGCTATATATTTATTTTCATTTCTTCTCTCTAATGGCCGAAAAATTAAGTGGGACACCGTTATCTAACCCTAATGCAATTATTAACAACCAGTACTGCGTTCCTTACGCGATTGACCTTGCTGTTGTTAGAAAAGTTTTGACCTTAGACGATGGCAATTTCGTTATTCTTGACGTTACTGGCCACATGATTTTTAAGGTTAAAGAAATCCTCCCGACCTTTGTCCATGACCGGAAGCATATCATTGATGTCACCGGAAAAACCATCGTCACCTTACGCCGAAAGGTAACATATTCGTAAATCAAACAAATAAATTCTTCAGATTTTTTCCTTTGATTGCAATAAAAAGGGTTTCTTACTTCTTTTTATACATATTATTACGTAATTTGATACATTGCGGATTAAATATCCTCTTAGCAAGTTCGAGAAACCCTTGTACAAATTTTTAAATTGTGGATAAATCGTGAAATATCAATTGAATTATCTGGATATTCATTTTTTTATTACAATTTGATTTGATTCAATTTGTGCATGAATAAATAAATAGGCAATGACAGCACACAGCCGATGGCAAGTTTTTAGAGGAGAAAGCATAGACACAAATGATTTAATTTTCAATGCAAAAACACATTCCATAGTTCATTTCAAGACAAATTTAGACGTTTTCTTAGCAAATAACTCAGAGGAAAAGGAATGCAATTTTAAGGTGAGAGGAAGCTATTTAGAACGATCATGTACAATTTTTGCAGGAGCAGGAGACGAAAACTCCACCGCAATTGTCGCACAGGTAATTCATTACAAAATTGACAATTTCCATTGTCTATGAATTCTATGACAACTTATATTATATATATATATATATATATATATATCTCACAGAAAAAAAAAAAAAAAGAAAAAAAAAAAAAGAAAAAAAAAAAGGAAAAAAAAAAAAAAAAAAAAAAAAAAAAGAAAAAAAAAAAAAAAAGAAAAAAAAAAAAAAAAAAAAAAGAAAAAAAAAAAAAAAAAAAAAAAGAAAAAAAAAAAAAAAGAAAAAAAAAAAAAAAAAAAAAAAAAAAAAAAAAAAAAAAAAAAAAAAAAAAAAAAAAAAAAAAAAAAAAAAAAAAAAAGCAGGAGACGAAAACTCCAGCCGCAAATTGTCGCACAGGTAATTCATTACAAAATTGACAATTCCATTGTTATTGAATTCCTATGACAACTTATATTATATAGTATATATATATAATAATATATATCTCATGTGATGCTGATATATATATCTCATGTGATGCTGTTGCAGATGCATAAAAAGCACACGAGTCAAAGTATATTGCTAGGGAAGGACAACTTCATGGTCACAGTGCAACCTAACGTGGATTTTGCATTCATAGTGGCTCTTATTGTCATTCTTGACGATATCAATCATAAGGGTTGAGGCACCTCCAGATTAATTCACAGAGGCCATTAACACTTTAACATTAGGGTTTGGCCCATTAATTCTGAAAATGTATCAGATTTTTGTTCGATTTCTTCATTTCTTGTAATAATGAATGATATCAAAGTTTACTCTTGCAACCATTGCATCTTTATTTCCAGTTTCTTATTCCCTATTTTACCTTGCAAGACAACAAGTGTAAGTAAAGATCCATTTGATTTAGTTATTGATACTTGACACCAGTTAGTTGATAATTAATATTGGTATTTAATATAATTTTAATATTTTTTAACGATGAAGGAGGATATTAATCCTAAGAAATAACACGAAGCCAAACAGCTCCTACAACACCAGAGTCTAAAAACTCTTCTTGCCTGAATCGAAGGTAGCTCTAATAACTTCAAGCCATAATCACCAGGCATTGCCTCATTCGCTAAACAATCAGTAAATGAATTCGCCTCTATATAAACAATCATCAAGCCTGCCAATGCCTTTGCATAAGCTCCTTAGGCGAAAAGGTCCAGCAGACTGACCCATCACCATATCCTTTGCTACCTGGTCAGTTTGAACAATTACACGTCTCAACCATATCCATTCCTTGTTGTTAAATGTTAAATAAAAATAACGTATGACGTCTTTTTTTTTTTTTTTTATTTTTTTTTTTTTTTTTTTTTTTTTAATTTTTAAGCTGAATATCTAATTTTTTATTTTAATTATATATAAAAAATAAAATAATATTTAATATAAATTTACTACTTCTAATAACTAATAAATAAAATAAAACACGTTAATTTGAAAAGAATTATTTATTATAAATTATTTTTATGAAGTTAATAAAATTTAAATATAAATAAATATAAATGAACTAATAGTTAATACGAAAAAAAAACTTCAAATGTGTCTGATAAAATCAAATTTATGGAGACTTCTATAATCTATTAGCTATTGGCCAATTTAACGGGAATTTGCTTAAGAAATCTAAGTTTTTTTTCGACTCAGATCGATGTCTAATTTTATTCATACTAAATAGTTTTATTGAATTGGTACGATATACACCCACATAAGAGGCATAGGTAAATGTTTCTCATGGATGGATGTAATAAATTTAAAATGACAATTGGTGCAAAAAAAATTTACAGTAAAATGCCGCGTATTTGAACGTGTCCTTACATTGCAAATTAAGCAAAGGTAGATTTTCAACGCGCTAGACCTGTCTTGAGCTTCACGCCGAAATCATCATATATATGATGTACCCAAACTAACCCAGTCCAGTCCAATCCATCACAGTAATATCACCGATTCAAGACCAGAAAAATCTTTTTCACCTCGCTTTATACCCAGTTTCTAATAAATTTGTGGTTGTTTGATATGGCTTCGCAACCGATTCCGGCGATGACTTCGTACCAGCAAGTACAGTCTCCGGTGGTGGTAATCGGACCGCAATTCTTGGCGCCGTATCCAGTGGACCTTAAAGTGGCCACCAAGCTATTGTCTCTTGGAGAGTGTAATCTCGGAGTTACTGACGCTAACGGTGCCCTTATTTTCAAGGTTAAAAGTAAACTCTTGAGCATCCGTGACCGCCGTTATTTGCTTGACGCTGCCGGTAATATCCTTGCCACTTTCCGACAGAAGGTCAATTTTCTACTTCTTTTACTTGTCTCTTTATTTTTTGGAATTTCTAATTTAATTTGTTGCCAATTAGCAGATAATTAGTGATATTGAACTGATAATTGGTTTTGTAGTTATTTAACTGATAGAGATGAGATTTGAAATTTTTGAATTTATTTAACTAACAAAAATGAAATTCGAAATTCTTTAATTTATTTAAAAAGTAATTGGATACTGTTCATTTATATTCAAAATTAAGTAAAATCAAATTTCTTTAGCCCATATTTATATGTAAATACAATCAAAATTCACATAATTTATATTGATAATGTAAAAATTAATTTCTTTTATTACCAAACAAGTAGCTAAGCCCTAGGTTCGAAATGCCTATTTTCTGAAAAGTATACTTCTTGAAAGTACACTTCCAAGAAAAAAATTATTACAAATGTATAATGTCAATGTGTTGTATGTAAATTAATTTCATAGGAGCTAATTGCTCTCAAATTATTAGTCAAGACTGTCTATAATATAAAGTTAAGATATTTTTCCATAAAAAAAAAAAAAAAAAAAAAAAAAAAAAAAAAAAAAAAAAAAAAAAAAAAAAAAAAAAAAAAAAAAAAAAAGTAAAGATATTTAGATGGTAGGATAAATTTGTAAATTTTCACTTATCTAAGAAATTGCAACTTCCCTGGCATCCTTAAGGAAGTTATTTCCATCTATTTACCCTTAACCAGCCAAACATCACCTAAGATGCTTCTAAGAGCAATGGGTAAACCAATTAACACTTACTAATTACGCATCATAGTTTAAATAAATTTTAGAAATGTTAAAATTAATAAGGCAAAACACATTTTAAGTCCTTAAACTTATCAAGTTTTGCCTTATTAAATCCTTAAACCTTTATTTGTCAACATTGAGCCATTCAACTCGTATTTTTGTTAAAATTAAGTTCTTGTATAACTGAAATCATGAAATTTTTATTCGTTGCTCAATGAAATCGCATCTTCTTCAGTTGGTAGAAGGAATAAAATGGTAATGGAATGATTAGAGTTCTTTTGGCTTTGAGAATGAAGAATTTGACATCATTCTTTTCATTTACCATTATTTTAGTCTCCATATGAGAGTTGAGATTTTTCCGTGCCATGTTAGATCTATATCTTTATTGTGGGCGACTTCAATTCCCATTTGTTCTTAGTTTAAATAAGGGCTTAATTTTTAAGAAAAATAAAAGTTGTAAGGCTCAATATTGACAAATAAAAATTCAGGAACTTAATGGATAAAACTCGATAAATTTAGGGCTTTGAATATGTGTTTTGCTCTTTAAATTGTATGATATTATATTATATATATTATATTATTTTATAATTATATTATATTATATATATATATATATATTATTTTCTCCTTGTTGTTTGAAGGAAGAAACTAGGATCTAAAAGTAAGAGGGCAAAATAGTATAAAATTTAATTAAATGAAAATCTTATAAAGGAGAAAGGAGGTAAGGCAGTTGAAAGATGGTTGAAATCTCTCATTGGGTAAGGTTTGAACCTCAGCATTGTTAAGGGAATTTTTTTTAAAAAAAAATTGTCCCCTTTCTCTACAAGGTAGTTTCGTCCCTGGTTGTTTGTAAACATTATTGTTGAGGCCCTGAGGTTTTGTCCTGTTAAACTAAGAGTTTCAACTAAAAATTCTATTTTTATCATTAAGTATGGAAATAAATAGTAATTCAATAATAAATATAAGGGGCTACATAGTCAAACATTAACCGCGGAGGACGAAATAGTCAAATTGAGGATATTTCACAACAACAATAATATTTCTTGGATGAAAGGATTAGATAGTTAACAGAACTAAACCTCATGAATTTCATAATAATTTCTCTAATCGGTAGAGACGAAGTAATAGCTTTAGCGAAACCTCAAGGACTTCATAGTAATTTGCCCCTATTTGTATTAGCATTATGCTATTGAACACTGTAAATATAAACCAACTAATTCACAAATATATTGTCGTTGTAGGAAAAAAAAGGTAGGAAGGCTGATTTGTAATCAATGAGACGCAATTCTGTCAAATTCATCAACTAAAACTATTTCTATTTTTCTGTGGTGAAATTTTTTTATTTTTGATTTTTCCTTTATTGATTCTATTTAATTTCCTTTCAGATAATGACTGCACATAGGAGATGGCAGGTTTTCAGAGGAGACAGTACAGACAGCCAAGATTTAATTTTCAGCGTTAAGAAGTCATCTCTAATTCAATTTAAAACTGAATTAGATGTATTTTTAGCTGCTAACACAAGGGAAGATGTCCCTGATTTCAAGGTCAAAGGAAGCTGGTTTGAGAGGTCCTGCACCATATATCTTGGTCAATCCAATACCATCATTGCACAAGTAAGCTCTCTTAAGTCTTCCCATTTTTAATTTTGTTTTCAATACAAAAAACTTTTGCTATGAGAATGGCACTATGTCTGATTTGCTCTTAAGTTGAAAATGGACTAGAATTTTGGAGTAGGATTTTATTTTTTTTGATTTATTTCATTAGAAAACCTTTTTTTTTTATGTAACTGTTTACATTGAAATAATTGTAATTTTTAATCAAACAAATAATTTCTGTTTAATTATTTAAAGACAAATTTAGAATGAGAGTTTTTTGAAATTAGACGTTCATTTTCAAGGCAAACTAAACAAACCTCAAGAATATGTTTATCATTCAAAATGATTTTTTTTTTTTTTTCCTGAATAGTGCGATATTCTCGAAACAATATTTGAAATAGTTATTTAGTGCTTGTTTAGCATTATGATCTTCGTTTTAGCAAACCACTGTTTGGGAAAAGCTAGAAACGGTTTCAGAAAAATATTTAGCTCCACACTCAAACCCAAATGGAGTTTTAATGGTTTTAGAAATTTTAGTTTTAAAAATATATCTAATTCACCTTAAATAAATTTTATTTTTCTCACCGTCAATATTTTTTCAATATAGAATTTTTTTTTTCCAACATTAACTCAAATAATAATATAAAATAGACTAGGATTATTGGCTTCAAATGTCACCAACAATAAATATTTATGCCAAATAGGCAAATACTAAACCAAAATAATAATAATGGCCAAATTCTTCTTTGCTTAATATCATGTTAATGTAATGTAAATGCAGATGCACAGAAAGCACACTCTTTCAACCATAGTGTTTGACGCAGACAATTTTGGTGTGACTGTGTATCCCAATATTGATTATGCCTTCATAGTATCTCTTGTTGTGATTCTTGATGAGATCAACGAGGATCGTCGTGGCGATGATTAGATAGTACTTCTATTTAATCTTATGCTTCCAGTAAAACGGAAGCTAAAAGAAATAAAAATAGAAGAAAGCGAATTGTATTTTGTTGCTTTCTTTATGGAAGATCATGGGTTGGAGTGAACAAGGAATGACTTTGCTTTCCTCATGAAAGAATGTACTATGTTTTAACGTTTGATGCTGACATGAATTTGTAGTTTGTTCTTTTTATGTATATAAGTTGGAGAATATGTACAATTTCATATAATCCAGGGAATTTTGTGGGCGTTAGAAAAATGGTATTCTTTTGAGTAAGCTTGACACAGTAACAGAATCCCCTGAAGGGAAGGCTAAAATGCAAACCAATATATTATACAGAACAGAAGCATTACATCCCTGGCCCATCCTCTGTCCTTGATAATTTTAAGGAGGCAGGGGATAGGGTTTTAATACTGATGGACATGAATGTACCCTTTCTTATAATGTTTAGTTTTGTGTGTATGAAAAGCAGTCTAATAGGCCAATATGTGCGATATGTTTGGTCTTGTCACTTATGGGAGGAGTGGGAAGTCTCTTAAATTCGAATTCTTTCGATCATAAGTGTTTTCACAAATTCGGGGAGTTCAATAGAAGGCTACCTTTGTTGCGTGGTTCATAATATTATTTTAACTTACTGGGCCTTCCAAAGAAAAAAAAAGAAAAGCATTTTATAGGACTCTCATCTAATGAAATGGGATGACAATGTTTTTGTTTAAGGTCTCCATTTCGAATCCTTGAGCATTTTTAAAACTTGCACACTATCACTTTCCCTTTGTGGGTCTATCTAGACTAAACTTGTAGGCTTTCCTGTTGTATGTGTCAATGGTCCCTACAGCGTGGGCCAGGTGCAATCACGCATCGACAACATTGATTGGTTTTTAAAAAGAAAACCTTAAATAATAATATTGAAAATAATTGAAGAATAAAAAGAAGAAATATTAATAAAGAAGATCCACTCAAAAGGAATTGAATTGCTTTTGCAATTGGTAGTGAAAATGAGAATGATTGTATTTCCATGACATATGCCTTAATAGCTTTGGTTGTTTTAGGAATGATGATGGGTGAGTGTATGAATTGCTTTTAACTATTTGTGATCTGAGTCTCCAAAATTATCTGTAAAATGGGAAAAACCATCTTTGAACATCATTCAATAATTCAGTGGCTTGTCTAATAATACAAAAACATGATTAATTAGTGGTTACAGTGATGATATTGCAAAGAAGCCAAGTGTAGACTCTTCTGACCACTCTTTTAAGTTTCCATCCCTTTCAATCTTCGAGTGGTGGAATATTAACAGCAAACAGAGCAATTGTCACTTATCACTTTTAATTCTTATTTCAATCAAATTCTCCCTAGAAAACTGATATTTTTAAGCATATGTCTCCATATTCAGATTTGAAGTGATATTCAAATAAAGTTTTTTTTTTTTTTAATAATCGCAATTCGAAGAAATTACTAGTTTTTTTGTATTAAACAAAGAACAGTATTTGTTACTTGTATTATTATCTATATTACCTATTAATCAGATAAAATAACAAATAATTAGCAATTAAGGAAATGCCATTTAGCTTGTACTTGAAACAACAAAATTGAGACATAGGCAAATTTTACTTAATGAGAACACAGCGAGGCATATTACTAAACCTAATCTTAATTTATTATTATTTATATAATGAAGAATTGTCAATGAATGATGACAAAGTTGAGGGAGGCGGAAGAAATTCACCAAAATTTTAAATTTTTTGTGATATGTTGAAAAGTATAAGAAGAATGATTATTCCTCAATTTGGAATCAAGATGAGATCATGACTATAATTCAAAGCTAGCATACTATTTTATAAAATAAATATATTTATACAAAAGCAAATAACTAACATTAATCTCTAAAAATGGTATTCATTTCCTTAACTATAAGCATATTCAGATTTAGAATGAAAGTACTTTAAAAATAATATTTTCAAATGCGTTATTACAATAACATTCACTAAATTGGCCTCATATTACCCATATTATCTTCTAATAAAGTTAATTAGATTCCAACTGATCGGTAATTACTTAAAAGAATTTAGAAGTACATAGCTATAAAAAATTTATCACCCTAAAAAAAATAATTCATGAAATTATTCACAATTATAATCTTAGTCATAATTAAATAAAAAGGGAGATACATTTAAAATTGTTAATTTAATGATTAAATATATATTTTTTTTTATATTAAAAACATAGCCTCACAAAGATTCCTTAAGTATTAAAATTCGAACCGCTTGCACTTCCAATCAAACAAATGAATCCGATGCAAGTGCTCACCACATCAATTTGCATCACACATACAGAGGACAGAACAATACTACTAATTATTCAAAAATTTATCCATTATCCACAAAAATGAAACCATTTCATTTGGTCCTTGTGTCATTGTTATATGCCAAAACTGACCAATTTGAATATTTTAATATTATATATTTCTTTTAGTAACAGACAAAGCCGACCCAGATTTTGACACATAATTATCTTTTTCTCTTCCCAATCCTTTCTACGACTTTTCTCTGTCTCTATAGTTTTACTCGCATAAAAGGAGTAACAAAAGCTGGCCCTTGAAGTAACGTGCTCTGCTCCACACTCGCAACTGTACTCGCTGTCACTCGCCGGTAGTGCTTCTAATCTTCCCACGTGTTAGCATCACAATTAGCGCGTGTTTTTAAACCGAAATTATAGCGAATTGGATAGATTGATTTTGGAAAAGGATTCTAAGCCGGGAAGGTTATTAGAGAGCAAGAAAGGGAAAGACAAGAAAAAACGGATTTTCCGGGTGAAGGTTAGAAACCAGAAAGAAAGAAAATTTAATTCTGTGTAGAGATTTTTTAGGGTTTCTTAATTTTTTTTGGTTTGTTCAGAGGATTGAATTTGGTTTTGTGGTTTCCTGGAAATTGAATTCTGCAGAGACTTTGGACCTTGAGTCTCTTTTTCTTCTTCTTTTTGGTTTTGTAAATTTCGCAAATAGGTTCGCTTTTTGCAGAGAGAAGGAGAGATATGGCTATGGCTATGGCTTCTTCTTCGTCGTCTTCAGCAAGTGTCGCGGTGGAGAAGGCAACCAGTGATCTTTTAATTGGTCCTGATTGGACTATGAATATTGATATATGCGATTCTGTTAATTCTAATCATTGGTAAAGTTTTTCCTTTTTCTTTTTAATTCTCTGAACTTGTAAATTTGAAAGGTATTTTGGTGTTTTTGTCTGGAGTTGACTTTTGTTACGGTTGTGTGTTTTTTTTTTTAAGAATTTCGTTTATTGCTGTGGTGTTATCATGTTGTACGTACAGATAAACACATGTGCGTTTTTTTATGCATATATTTGTTTTTTAGTCAGCGTTTATGTGTTTGTTTGATCAATTTAATGTGAATTTTAATTGTTTAATTTGATTTCTTTCCTTATCCTGTCTCAAAGTTTAGGGGGAAAATGGATTTTTTTTTTTTTTTTGGGCTGCAAAGGTTTAAAACTTTTGAGATGGGAAGAGATGATAGATACTTTGCTATTGTTTGGAAGAAGATGATAAAATTAAACCAATAAGAGAGAAAAGTGAGTGGGGAAGAAAGGAGGATATTTGAACAGAGACAGATCATTGGATGATCGGATCCCTTGTTTGTGCTGTTGGTGTTGGATTTCAATTAAATCTTTTATTTTAATTATCATTAATGTTTTAATTAAGGTGGCTTTTTGAGAAGAGTCATTGAGTTCACACTGGTCGACTGATGAGTATGTTTTTTGATTTTCTTCAGGTTGGCAAAAGATGTTGTTAAAGCTGTTAAAAAAAGGTTGCAGCACAAGAACCCTAAAGTGCAACTACTGGCTTTGACGGTAATCTTATTTGGGTATCTTTCAATTATTGATTTGTGTTGAACTCAAATCCTATGGCTTGCGTTTGTGTGCACAAGAACCTTAGTTTTTTGCATTCATATGTGCCACAATTTGCAATCTTGCTCAGCCTGGGATATTAAAGTTCCCATATTGACAATTTTCTCATTTTGTTTAATGGTTGTAATTGCTTGCTAATATGCTTTGTAGCTTTTAGAAACAATGGTGAAGAATTGTGGTGACTTTGTACATTTCCAAATTGCTGAAAAGAACATATTAGGGGAGATGGTCAGAATCGTAAAAAAGAAGGTACTCTTTTCAATTTCTCTGCAAATTCTATTTCGATGTGCATCATTCTTTTGATTATCGCATGCGAAGCTGTTAGAAATTCCAGGAATTTGTTTTTGCCTTTTTAGCCATCAGATGCCACTGGTCCTTGCCTAAGAAATTGTTTGTGTATCTAGCAACTAACATCATTGGTGATTTGTTCAACAAGCCATGTGTTCTGGGAAGTTAAATTATTTAACTGTAGCAAAGAAATGAGTGAAGTTATCACAAGAGAATTCTGAGGATGGAGGTTATGTGTAGTGATGTCATTCAATCATTTGTTTTATACTGTCCGAATTTAATGCTTTATCAAGCTGCAATACAAGTAATATTATGCTTTTCAGCAGCAGTCCACTAGCCTGCAGTAATCATGTTTCAGCAAGGTTCGCAATTTAATTTGAATAACTATAGTCACTGCAATTTTATTAAAAATTAATAGGGATTAACGAGTCTGACCAGTCAATTGTGGCTTTTTAGGCCCCTACAAATTTTATACCAAATTAAAATAACTGACTGAAATTTTTGAGATGCAAGCTGCATGCTATTGTGGTCCTTTTTTCAGCTTTCACTTGCTTTTTAAAAATGTATCCATGCTTTCTTAGTGTTTCTTCTTTGGAGCTTCAATTTTGTCCTAAAGCTATTATATGATTGGTTTGCAGTCTGATATGCATGTAAGAGATAAAATTCTGGTTTTGTTGGACTCTTGGCAAGAGGCATTTGGTGGGCCTGGGGGTAAACATCCTCAGTACTATTGGGCATATGAGGAACTAAGGGTAAGCATTTCACTTCAGTATTTAATATTTCAAGTATTTGCTTTTGTACAGCTCTCTTGCCATCACTTTAAGTGTTTCTTATAGTATTTTCAGTTGCTTTCTATTCCATTGACGTATTATGTTGTATGACAATTACTGTTTGTCATAATTCAAGGCTCTTGTGGCTGGTAAATATTTGACTGTGGTCCTGTGGATTCTTCTTTGGGTCTTAGTGTGCTTCAAGGTCACCTTGATCATGTAATCCTAGTCAATAACAGTAAAATGAATTAGATAAAGGGAAAATACATTGTACCTAATATCACTGCTGCTTTGTTACTCCCCACCATCGCATCTAAGATAATCAGAACAGTCTCAACTTTTTAACAAACAACTTTGACCATTAATCTGTAGAGAAAGTATGAGCTTCTAACATGAATTATACAGATGGCACATAATTGCCCTATATTCCTTACTCAGCTCTAATATCCACACCTCTCTATTGCATCTAAGATTATGAGAATCCTCTTTAACTTATTTATGAATGATGTATGCCATTAATATATTTGTGATCATTACTTTCACATATAACAGCGTTCTGGAGTAGAATTCCCCCAGCGTTCCTTAGATGCTGCTCCTATATTTACACCCCCTGTCACCCATTCAACATTGAGGCATTCTCAAGCTGGATATGGAATGCCTATCAATTCTTCTAGAAGACTTGATGAAACAATGGCAACAGAGAGTGAAGGCTTAAGGTGAGAGTTGACTTTGGTTTGCACATTGTACTAGCATTTGCTTTCTTTTTTTCTGAATTTTATTTTCTTTATTATGTTCAGCCTATCAAGCATGGATTCCATTCGGAATGTTATGGAGCTGTTGAGTGACATGCTGCAAGCTGTGAACCCTGATGATCGTGGGGTGCGTGTGCTGATGACTTTTTTTATTTCCTTGCTGAAACATTGGGTTTGAGATGTGCTTTTCTTTTTGTAGGCTGTAAAAGATGAACTTATAGTTGACCTTGTAGATCGGTGTCGGTCCAATCAGAAAATATTGATGCAGATGCTAACTACAACTGGGTTAGTTTTCCTTAAATGTCTTCTCCAGAAATGCTTTGGTGGGCTTTTGGCATGTTCTTGATATGATGGGAGGCACTAGTCACCAAGTTGTGTTTTTGCCCAAGCAAGCTACTCTTTGCTAGCCTGAAAATATCTTTGTTTATGTGGCAGGGATGAGGAACTTCTCGGTCAGGGTCTTGAATTAAATGATGGCCTGCAAATCTTGCTTGTGAAACATGATGCTATAGCTTCTGGTTCTCCCATGCCAACTACTAATTTGGCCCCTAAGCCAGGACAATTATCAAATACCAAACCAAATGAAGTAAAAGACTCTAGCACAAGTTCTAGCTCTAATGCCACTGTTCCTGTTGCTAGTGTAGTGAGGAGCCATATTGATGAAGAGGATGAGGAGGAGGATGATTTTGCTCAACTAGCTCGGAGGTATCACCAAAGCTCTATCTTATATGTTGTTTAGAGCTGATAGAAAATTTGCATTCTAACCACATATGCTATAAATTGGGGAATGCAGTTCCATTGCTATGGAACCTTCTAATTGATGATCATTCTATAGGAATACCCAGTTACCCTAATTACCGGCTGGTATTTAGTGGCACTTAGTTCTTGAGTAGAAATTGCAAAATATAAACCTTCAATTTTCAGCTTCTTAGTGGTTCCATTTTGAAACTCTTAATTTCTCTTCCTTTTTTGAATGAATTATAACTTATGGATGTATTCTATTTGGTTTATGTTCTGCCTGATAGATTTGACTAAGTTGCAAGTTTAGTTCATTTTCACTTCTTTTACTTGCCCTTGTAAATATAGGCATTCCAAAGCACGGTCAAGTCTGCCTCAGAGCGGAAGTGGAACCAGCAAGGCACTTGTGTCAGTGGACACCAGCACTGCAACTTCCTCTACTCCCATTGCTTCAAGCCCTGCTCTGAGCAATGCGCTGACTCTTACAGATCCACCCGCACCAGTTAAAACTACAAAAGAGCAAGATATAATTGACCTCTTGAGTATTTCCTTATCAACGTCACATGTTACACCCACCCCTCATACTCCAACAGCCTCTAACCAGAGTATGCCTCAAGCAGCGGCCTCAAGCACACAAGGGAATCCTTATAGTTCCCAGATATATTCTGAAAACCAAGGGCAGGCAACATACAACAGTTATGTTGTTCCATGGGCCCAACCTCAACCTCAGCACCAGTTACAACATCCATCTCAGCCCCAGCATCAATTGCAACCTCAGTCTCAACCTCAGCCTCAGCAGCAATTTCATCCTCAATCTCATTTGCAACCGCATTCTCCAACTCAGCATCAGCAGCAATTTCAACCTCAATCTCAATTTCAGACACAATTCCAGCCTCGAACTCAGCATCAGTTTCAATCTCAATCTCAATCTCAACCAGCAAATGTTCAGCCTCAGCCTCAGCAGCAATTTCAACCTCAGTCTCAACCGCAACTACATCCTCAGCCTGGGCATCAACCTCAACAGCAATTTCAACCTCACTCTCAATCACAACTACACATGCAGCCTCAGCTTCAGACTCATCAGCAATTTCAGCCTCAATCTCAGCCGAACCAACAATTCCAAGCTCAATCTCAACGCCAATTTCAGCCACAATTGCATTCGCAATATCATCAATACCCATCTGGTTACCCCCCTCCGCCCTGGGCAGGCACACCTGGTTATGCCAACGGGCAAAGTCATATGTCTACCACAAGCAATGTGAACTCAACACTACAAGCCAACACGAGTGCTGTTTATACACCTGCACAAGCATCAAGGCCTATGCTGAACAATAATGCCTTTTCAAGGCAAAGCAATGGATTAGCCGCGAACGAAGATCCTCGAGTGAGTTCTGGTCCTCGGAACCCTACACCTCCAGGTCAAAAGCCCTTTATTCCGACTTACAGGTTGTTTGAAGATCTAAATGTTCTTACCAATACAGATGGAAGATTTAAGATGACTGGTAGCACATCACCCAGCTTGTCAGGACCTTCAACCCAAGGGATGGTAGGCGGAAGGAAATGAAATGCTGGTAGTAGAACAGAAGAAACTGGATATATATCCTTGTGAATATGGTTAATATTGGCTCGCCTTACAGTTTGGAATGTATCTAAAAGGAGTATGTGAGGTTTGTCATTGCTTCGATGTCTCTAGTTATTGCAGTTGCTACGGTATTTGTCTACCATTCTTCTCAATCCATGAAATTGAATTGTTTTCTCGAGATTTCTAAGCATTGTGTCAAAAAATGGCTCGTTGGTAGGAAGCTTATTTCCAGAATATGATCATTCTGTGGTCTATTCATATGGGGCGTCCTGTTAAGATTTTGTTTCGGTGTAACCTGCTCTGGTTGACTAATTACTGTGGATATAATTGCCTTGGCTCGGTGATGCAGATAAAGTTCGCTATCAAATAAGGCAACTCTGCTTCTCTAGTATAGTGAAAGTTATTAGATTGGACTGGTTACTGAAATTTCACAAATATTTGGGTTCTATATAAGTCTCCAATAACATGTTTGGCAGATATTTATGCCTACAAATTGTATGGTTTGGCCAGTGCGGTTGCAGTTTTAATGCATTTGATTCCTCTGCCACCAATTGATGTTTGTGCTAATTTTTGTTCCTGATGCAATATGAGAAAGAAAATTACCCCATAATAAACGGTAATTCTGTCATATAATTATATATGTTATGTGAAAATAATTTAGTTCAAATTATTAAAAGAAAGAGGAAAATATACCTGAAGAACACTTTAATTTGAATAAATACAAACATTAACAGCCATAACTTATAATTCCTTTAAAACTTTAGTTCTTTCACCAGCGATCTGTTAGCTGTTGGCAAAATGGTGTTGCATGAAGGTGTTGACAACAAGAGAAAGAAAAAAAAAAAAAAAAGAAAGGAAAAGGAAGTTGACCTACGTTGATGAACTATGTTGATTTCACCTAGAATTTCTGAATATTGCTAAGGATCACTATATCTTCCAAGCATTTTTACTGTAGATGAAAAGGAATTTGACTTTCACGATTACATATGCCCTATAAACTGGAACTTTTAGACAGTTCTCTCAAGGACTACGACGTAATAACACCATCGCAAGGATCCATGATAGGCTCTCACAGTAAAAGATGAAAACCAAATTAATTAATTGAATCTTACAAGTTTCATTAATAATTTTCTGACACCTGTTTCTACCCTTAAATTTGTTAATAATGTTTTTAAGTTTGTGGCTTACAAGGTCAAATTGCGGTGATCAAACTATTAATGACGTAAAAAAATAAATAAATAACCGAGAAAAGAACCTCTTTTCTACCCCTCACCCCCCCCTTTTTTTTTTCTGGGTTATGGAGAGCGATTGCCACCCAACACACGACAAGGATACAAAGTCAGAGAGATGAACATGTTAATTTCCCCAGATTTCAGGCGGGGCGGATCCATATCAACATCTGTCTGTAACACTTGAATTATAATTTTACAATGAACAAAGGGATGGACAGATCAATAAACACACGCTGAAAAGAGGGGGAAAAGATTTGCAAGGGAGAAAATAAGCTATTTACACATTTACCCATATAATAATTATTTGCTTAAGCCCCCACCCACAAATGTTGCAGGATTTCTTCCCAACTTGATTCACCCTCTATGCTGGAGGCTAATGAATATGTAGCATACAATTTCAGATGACAGCCAAACCAAAGCAGGATTTGGCTCAACGAAGTGTCACATCTGATGAGCAAATTGCATTCCGAAAACAGCATCGCTGACCTTAACTTGAAATCTGTATCTGCTCCCTTGAGCTGCCGCCGTACAAGGTCACTTGATCAAATAACACCAGTAAAGAATATGCATTTATCTTGCCTGGGAATTGTCATCTGTATATATAGAAACACAAGCATCTGCAGCACCAGCAGCAAGAAGTACATTGTATGGATGGAAGGTGAGACAGCTCACTGGACCGATTTTCTGGGCCATGAAAGTTGAGTAATACCGAATAGTACCCAGTACTTCACCCTCCAGGCTGAATACTTTAATAATTTGTTTTGCTGAGCCACTAGCAATGATAGGGGCATGCCTATGAACAGCTAAAGCAGTAAGTGAGCCCCTGTGTGCATTAATTGTAAGGTAGGTATCCCTGGGATTTCTGATATCGAGGAACTCAATATCACCAGCCTGAGATGCACTGACAAACTGAAAGAATACAGTTCAACGAACATGTTATAAAATAATCAAAGACAAGATTCATGCTTGGCAAGCCATTCAAACATAGCCAGTATCACCAGTTATGCTTACCTTCCCAGGATCAAGACCAGGTTGGAAGCCAATTCCGACAACTTTTTCTACTCTTGTATGTGGACGCTTAGTACAAACAAGCCTGAGAATTATTGAGGAATGAGGATAAGACAATATTAAACATAAAGGTAAACCTGAAGGATCGCATCTATCAAGTCTTTTTTGGAGCATAGGTAGACTATTTAATTTGTATCTATGAGAAATGTAATGTGCCGAAGCTTAGCAAAACATCATTATTGCAATAACGTTTGCACTATGCCAGAGGAAAACCTTATGAGGATTGCTTACATTTCAGGTGCTCGGACATCATACAGTCTGACGGAGCCATCTATGAAACCCGCAGCAAACTGACCCACATGAACTTGAGAAGCAGACTGCATAGAGCAGTTTTGGAGAGGCCATCAGCAAAAAGTATGAATTACTAATGATAAGATTACATGTATTTTATTTATATAAGAAAACAAACAAATTGAAAACAAATCTCAAAATACTAAATAACAGCAGCACAAATTTGATGACAAATTAAAGATCCAAAACAAAATAGTGATTGTTTGCTAGCGACAATATAATGGAGTTATGGAGGCAGTCAATCAATATGAATTGATCCTAAGTCAGATTCAAATCCGATATTCCACATTGAAATTAGAAACTAAGCTGCCATTAGGGCATCCAAAAACCTGCCATTGCAAATCCTCAATGTCTTCCTGGAACCAATTTTAGTTAAGGGATAGATGTAGACCACATAAAGACAACAAAAAATGGGCTATAGCAATCATTTGAAGCAGATACCAAAAAATATCTAGCTTCAAGATATCAAAGTTCTATATATTGTCTAAAAAACAACAAAATAGACACATCCACATGGTGCGAGTGCAATCTTGAGTAAATATGAAATTCCTGAGATGATATTTTAAGTGATCAGATGATTTGTTAGGCTTCAAACTTCGCCTAGTAATAAATCATTCAAAGCTTCGACTTAAATAGATTAAACGAGCCCTAAAAGTACTAAGAGTGGCGGTTTTTAGCTCTATTCCAAACCTAATCCTAGGTTGGCAACCCTCTTCACTTGTTTGATGTTTACACAAATTTCTTCACTTGGTATATTTTAAAGGAAATCACATGAGGAGAATCATTAAATCATCACAAAACATTTATAAAGCAGCATTAATAAATGGTGCACATTTGCAAATTCTCATTGTACTCGGATATGTTGGACACAGTAAAAGATAGACGCAACTTCTAAAAAACATCCCCAAACAAGATAAAACTCACCAATGCTGAGACACTGCAATCTGATGAGGATGGAATAGAATGAAGCAGTTGCTCTTTGTCCAGGTCCCAAAGCATAATGGAAGATATTTCACCAGAAGCATACTGGAATGAAATGCATCAGAGTGTTTCAACATGGAAATATGAGCATAGGAGAACTTATAAATACTACATTATAAACTCAGCACATACCAGATATCCAGATTGCTGTTGCCAATCCACAACAGCATTCAAACTCCGCACACCTGGTTTATGACCCTGGATTGAAGAGAATCCCGTAACAAGCTTCTGTTTACCCTTAATCGTATAATCTTTCCAAATCCGAATATTTCCATCACCTAGCAAAAGATTGATTTGGAAATCAAATCATCCAACAATCAAGCACACAACATTGGAATTAACAACACAGAGAAATCATTATTACATGAAGCAACAAGAAGCAAACTGTCATCAAGCTCATTTACGAGGCAGAGCCTAGAGATTCCTTTCTCAGGAAAATCATGATTATCAAATCCATTGAGAAGGGCAGCATCCTCATAATTCCATATCCTGAGAAGAAAGAAACAACAATAGTTAAAAAAGGGCTAAAAGGAAAGATGAACCCATTGCAACCAAATGTTCTGAACTGAATTATATGCGCAAGATGCAACTACTGCATCAATTTAATGATGGAAGAAATTTAATGAATTATGTGCCTATGTTTGTTCACATTATCCACATAAATTTCAAGCAAAACCATAAAAAACTATTGATTTCAAACATTCCTGCTCAATGAAATGTCACTATGTCAAGGCTTCATTGGGTAAAATTGTTCTCACTACATCTACAAGACAAATGTGTGAAACATGATTATATAATTAACATGCTAAAAGTCAGAAGCAATGACAATTATTGGAGATTATTATCTGGTTGAATCATATCAAAAACATGATGACAATAGGAAATTTACATTTCTGTGGCACACAGCATGTTAAAACAATTGTCACTGGGTCAAAAGAAAAGCATAAGGAACTTACTGATCTAAAAATTGCATACCTTATCCGCTCATTTTCATCAGCAGCAATGACAATAGGAGAGAAAGGCTGCAACAAGGCTGCTTTGGTGCCTGTTTCAAACTTTGTGTCCCAACCAGCAATTTGATTATTTAACCTGCTAATGGCTAGCCCAAAAAAAAAACAATAGAGAGAGAAACAAGCTTCATCAGAACAATCCAAAAATTAGCACTACTTGAACAAAATAATAATTAGATGAAACTTAGACAAACTTACATGAATGTTGACACTTGGCAATGTGTTCCAGTGCAAACTTTTCCCTTTCTTCTCTTTTAACCAACATTTCATCGATATCATCTGCTGTGGTGAGAAGCGGCTTTGAGAAATGACCGCAACTCCAGTTATAAATAGTTGATTGAGGAAGCAAACTGCGCTCTGAACCGCCAGAAGGTCCAGCAGAACCTAAGAGAGGATCTGCTAATCCTGAATCTGGAAAGGTCATTAAGTGAGGTCTGAACTCTAAAGAACAAACTCTACGCATCCCTGTTAAGTAACTTGGTCGAGGAGGGCTGACAGGAGGAGTTCTGAATGTTAAAGGCAGATGACCTGGCAATAGCAGCCAAGATAAGATTACAGAGGATAATATAAAAGAAAATCATATGTTAACAGGCAACATTTGGAAGGTGAAACATTAAATGTAAAGAATGTGAAGCCAAAAGAGTAGTACATGCATTCTTTAAAGAAACAAATAGAAATAACATGATACAAGAAAAGAACTTGGGTTACCTGCATTCATGTCGAACCATGATGATGAACGAGCTAACCCTGCAAGACTTGTAGTTGGAGATGACGTTGTAGGTTCACCAGGCCGACCACTACCACCAGTGGAGTTTACGGGTTTTGTCACCACTTGCTCAATCCCAATAATGGACAGAACCCTTTGACCAAGGCTTGCAATCCGCGGAGAAGGATCTTTGGCTAATGTACACATGGCGAGGACACACTGTGAATACATAGCGTTATCTAGTGGTTTTGGCCTTGAATGATGGACTACTCCATTGCTGACAATATCATTTATCCCAGAATCAGAATGTTGAGATGAATCATCAGATAAAGGTGATCCATGCATAATCCCAGATGTAGTAAGAGGACTGCTAGTGGAGACCCTTCCATCTCGAACCAGTGACTGGTTGTCATTGCCAACTCTTGTCAAAGGACCAATTTGAGAAGAAAGGATATTCGTATGTGACATATACTGGTTCAGGTTAGCATATCCACTACCTGAACCTTTTATATGAGCCAAAGAAGGCAAGGAACTAAGTAAAGAATTTGATTGAGGTTTCCAATATGATGCTGCAATTGACTTGAGGTGCTGCTTGTGGCCAAATGCAAAACGTGCTAGAGCTGTCATGATACAAAAAAAATTAACAAGCATGAGATTCACAGTTGTACTCATGATCGAGTAAAGCTCAACGAGCTGGAAAAAGTTTCTGACTGCTTCCACGCCCACTGGCCATCTCCCTATATTGATGTAGTTTAAGAAACATAGCAAACTAGAAGGGATTACGAGATGCCCATAAAGAATTAAGTTTCAACAAAAACGTGTCTTCATGGGTAGAGCACATCTCATGTCCATGTAACTTGACACGCTTTTAGAAGTCCAGAAACTTAAAACAAGAATTACTTCATCACAAACATTAAGTTGTGAAGTTATTCAATTGTCCCGAAATTCAGAAATGATACTAACTCGCAAAGTGAAAGAATTTCAAACAACTTTGACAAGCTAGTAGAAGCTTGAACTCTAAGATTCTTTGTAGAGGAAAATAACAATTTGGGCTTTTAATGCAGGAAAGTCTCTCTCTCAATACTCGGATGGGTGATGAAAATAGTTAATAAACTGATTGTCCACTAAATAATTTCCCTATTGCATTCTGGATGATGCCTCTTATGCCATTTAATATTAGTTCATTCTCTGTGCTTACCCCGGAAAAATACATGATGGGCTGCTCAAAAATTGAAATGTGTAGCAGGCCACATAACAAACGGAAGACCAGGAAATAAAGAAACCAAGTGGAGGAAAACAGATTTCAATAAACTTAACTCATACCTACAGCAACCTCTGCCCTGACAAGTGGGCTTCCATCTGAAACAACACTTAGTAGGCTTCTAACAATGCTGATTTCAGCTCTACATTTTTCATCATCATCACATTCATCATCAACTGCAACACCATCTCTGCACGCATTACCTCCAACATCAAGCAGAGTGCCCAATGCAAAGACAGCAGAAGCCCTAACCTGGAATAAAAAGGGAGTTCTAATAAGAAGTGATGTAACTATGACAATAAACATGGTCGCTAGTGTGGCAACAGAATTGTAGAAAATGCAAACCTCTGGTTGCGGCTCAGAGACTAGAGGAGCACATATAGCAGGTGCATCTGCCTGCAGGCCTATCATTTGAGCCTCTGTAAAATCCTCCCACAACTTTCCCAGGCATAGACAAAGCCACTGAAGGAATAGGGGCTCAGTTTGACCATCGTTCGGGATTGAACCACGAAGGTGCTTTAAGCACACATGAACCAAACCAGCTTCAATACAAGCTTCTTGGCCTCTTCTGTGCCCATCAACAATAACGGCCAAAACAAATGCAGCCATGGCTCGCTGCTCTGGATATGCTTCCATGCTATCAAGAAATCTGATAAAATATGTATGCCCTCCATCCTTAACAAGATCAACTTGGCATGACTGTTAACCACAGGATAGAGATTCATAAGTAATATTGTAGCAGAGGTTATATGATAGAAAAAACAGTTCTTGCAAGAGAATTAGCACCAAGATGCAAACAAGGGAGAAACATATACACAAATTTGCTCGATAACAACACTCATCACAATGAGCTTATATAAGTCATCTTCCTCCACAGAAACCCTCTCTCTTTCTCACATGTAGAGAAACAAATTCAGCACTGTAGGCTCAATTTACTTGTTATGTTGTCAATAATCAAGCAGAAATACGAGTTTGTGCAATCATAACATATATAATAAAAGGTCACAGAAGACTATGCATGTCTGAAATTGTAGTGAAGCTTTATGTATGGGTTAAAAGATAAAAGGATGTAACCAAGATTAACTGAAGCAGAATGGGAATTTGTAACCAAGATTAACTAGGAAGCAAAAATAGCACAACGAAAACCAATTAAGCACACGCAGTAGAACACATGAAAGCATAGCCAAACATTAACATTAAAATATACCTTATCAAGTGCCAGAATCTTTGTCCATATGAATACAAGAATTTGCCTCAGTTCTGGAGTTGTTGTTTGCAACAGCTTCAGAACATATGGAAATATTCCAACAGATAAGGCCTACAAGTTCCGAAGCAACTTAATTATAAATCAAGACATCACAAACCACAAACAAGTAGCTTAAATTTCCAGAAAGAAAAGTTTAACGGGAATGACGAAAAGAATAATGAACAAGTACCAGGTCCACAGCCCAAGATCCCATATCAAGGAATCTCCCAAGGAGCACAAGTGCTTTAAACCGATGGCATTGACTAAGCAGAACCTGTAGTATAATACTTAACAGAATAAATAATGGAAATAACCAAAAACAAAAGGTAGGTTACAGACAAGGATACAGATTAAGGTAAAGATCACTTAACAGTGCCTCCAATTATTATTTGCCTATGACTATAAAGAACAAAAACACAAGCTCCAATGAAATGCACGTTCTTTACAGATTTTATTTTGAGAAAATAAAAAGTACAGATAAAAGTTCCCAGAACAAGTAGAATCAAAGGGAAATAGAACAGATGACAGAATGACAGACCAGATAGTAACATGTAAAAAGAAAAGCAACACACCTGAAGAACAATAGGCAACTGCTCTGGTGGCTTCTTATCTTCAGATCCATGATCCAACCAAACCTCAAAAGCCATCAGCTGTTCAGTGAAAAAGGGACTTGGCTGAAACAGAAAAAAGAAGAATTACAGACAATAAACTAGGTAAATATGGGTATTATTTCGGTTATTTCCTTTGTCCAAGACAACAATTCTATGTAAGCGTGTGGTTTTTGTGGCAATCTGTTTTTCTCTTTTGAAATACCAAATATATATGCATTTTAACAATAGTTATTTTTTGACAAACGAGGAACAAGAACCAATAAAACCAAATCACACAGGCCCCGGAACAGAACCTTCAATGATCCAGAAACAGTGGCTTGTCATAATTATGTCCAAATTCATTACACACCTGGAACTCTGCATTAGGATCCTCAACCAAAGATGGAAGCTGAAAGAGGCAAATTTCAGCAGCCATATCCCATGCATCCCTGCAATGAACAATGATAAGATAGTAACAAAGAATTACTCGCGTAACCTATTTTATTTCTTATAACTTTCAAATATATTTTCTCCCACTTCATCTGTCATTTTAAAAAATTTGGCAAGCACCATTTTTTTTTTCCAAATTCACTTTTCTCTCCGTATCTCCACTAAACAAGCATTAAATATTTAGAGAATTGATAAAACGGTATTCTTGTCATCACAATCATTTTTTTCTATATTTGAGGTTATTTAATGGTTTTCTTAATCCTTGTGCAATTTGAAATTGTGGCCTGTAAAATAGAATGAAGGGAGTGATAAAATATAGTGGTATTTTATACAAATTTAAGAACATAACAGAGTTTTCTTTAGTACCACATATGATGCTGATGAGTTGGTGGCAGCATTGGATGAGAAATTGGAGAACAATTGGCAGAACGCATAATCCTCTCAGCCAGTAAAAAATTTCTGAAGAGACTGGCAACTAATAAATCTTGTCTGAACAATCTCTGAAAAAGATCTGCACAGGAAAGACCAAGTGTTGGTGACATGCACTGCCAAAATGATTTTCAAAAGTCTCAATGTCAAAGAAAGTGCATGTGAAAGACCAAAACTAGTGTTATTTGTTTAAAAGCAACTTACCATGAGGAAGAACATTCCAGGCAATTGTGTCTGTCACTGCTGTAAAAATCCAATTCAATTCTCCCAGCAGTGTTTTGCGGTCATTTTGTCGACCAGGAATTTTATCTATTAGTGAATAATCAAGGGATTCATGAAGTAATGAACGTTTGCAGAACCTGGGAAACAAAGAACAAATAACCAAAAAATTAGCAAACATGACAAATGCATTGGCAGGTGAACATAATTTGGAAGATATAAACATAAATGAAAAGCATACACTGTCAAGGCAACTTAAATACAGTAAAAATCAATAAAGAAAGCTGCAGGAGGAAAATCATTGACATGGCAAGTGTTCGCCAACTCACCAAGAATTAACATAACTATTTTCAGGAAATCCAAAATTAGCATGAACAGTTATCAATTAAACAGCAGAACAAGAGCAAGAGTCAAATTATCTTGTAACAGAGACCAGATCAGTAATCCATACCCGCATTCCAGAAGATTCAACATCTCATGGTAAAAAAAGTGATAATACATTTAGGTGTAAACTTACAGTTGCAATATTCACACCATCTGAAAACAACCAACTCAGCAACTCCAAGAAACTATAGATGGATCTGTTTATAGGCAACAACAATGCAAGGAGAAAATTACTTCTCCTGAAATAATGTGCTTGCACTTTTTCTGTTAGAAACAGATGAACGATATAGACTTGCAATAAATTAATGTCTTAAAGGGATCAACACTCAGGCATAAAATTGGGAACAAACTGACCAAAGTTAGCCACAGCAAAGACAAGGTATAAGCCTTCATTTTTTGTCCCAACATAACTACAAACAGAAATTCCTTGAGTTTGAATAAATAGGCACCATTTTATGTAGTTTTTGAAGTAAACCTCATTACACGATCTTCAAATAAGCATGACAAGTACACTGAGGAAAATCACCACAAAACTCTCAAAATGGGGAGAATGGTATAGGGCTCCAAGTTACATCAAAAATTTGCCGCTCTTCTATAAAACTCCATGGCATTCAAGCAAAGGTTAGAATTTCTTTTAACAGAGCGCTTCAAGTGGTGGGAGGGGAGAGGAAATGAATAAGAAAGGTATTAGGCAAAAGTAGAATATTTTAACATGTCATGTCCATGAGCAGCCTAAATGAATCAGAAGATGGAGATAAGCACCTCAGTTAAGACAAAAATATAAGGACAGAACTAAAAAAAATCTATAACTCAAAAATAAACCAAAGAAAAGAATAGTAATTGGAAGGATGTTAGACAGCCCTTAATACATCCAATGAACCAAGACATTGTTTAAGCAGAGTAGAACAGCAGAAACATGGGAAACCGATCTATTAAAACTTTGTGTCTCATGCCAAACTCACAAGAATATGAATGAAGCTTACATGCCATGCCAATCAGCATGTATTAAGCTTAGTTTCTGTTATATTCCTTCCAAAATATAAATCATTAATCAAAAACCCTGTTGCAAATTAGCATAACTTTCTATTCATAGATTCCAATATATTTAATTATGTTCATACAGTCCGGTAAATGCATACAACGAAAAAAAAAATACTATATAAATAATGAACAATATTAAGGACAAAATAATTCACTTCATGTGGCATTCTGATGATTAAATTGAAATAAAACCTTATGTCAAACCACATCTCCCACTTTGTCAACATAGCTAATGCTAGAGGAAAGATCCCTTCCCATCAATGTATAAAGGGTACACATTAATGAATCAGCAAGACATGGGTTTAAACAAGGCCTATGAACCAAGGCCCCCCATAGATGCCACATGTGCTCATCAGCACAATGGCTTCCAAAATATGAAACAATAACTACAAGTGCACAACTGGTGTTCCAAGACAACAAAAATACCAACTCCTTTGAATACATAATCCAAAAATAAGCCAATAAAATAGTTTAGTCCTGTCATAAGAAAGAAATACCATGAAAATAAACAGAAAACAAACACACAAAATCAATATACTAAATGCAAGACCTGCATTATGCATTAACAGCCAGATCACTCATGCCAAAAATTACTATCTGAAAAGAAAGACCAAGGCTAGAATATTATCAAAATTAAGATCATAAAAAGAGACAAGTTTCACCATCGCAATGCCATCTTGATTGGTGTGGTAAGGCATGAAGTAAACACATCAGCGGGAAATTCTGCACTCTGGGGAAGAGTCTCGTGTGCTTCACAGGCTGCAAGCAATATACAGTCCTTCACAGATCCAGTAGAGCTAGTAGAATTCCAGTCATGAAGCTATCAGAAGAATAATCCAACAATCATAACAAAAAGTCAGACCAATAAAATAGTAGCATAAAATACAACATTGTAGTAACCAGTGATAACAATAACAAGAAACTGATAGCAAGACAATTGATGAATACCTCTAAAAAGGCATTAACAATCATTCCAGCAGCAGAGCAGTCAAAAACATAGATCGATGGTGTCTTCAACCAGGAATCAAGATCACTAATTGGCAAGGGGATATACTGTGTATAGCTCTGAAACAATCAAAACAAGAAAAGAAAAAAGTTATAGCATGTGAAAAATATTACTGCAGTAAGAATATTTGAGAAGTAAAAGAAATATAAACCTTGTTGAACAGCCAGATTTCACCGTTAGCAGTTGGCTTTGGAACACCATGTCCATTATAATGGAACAAAACTCTCTCAGACTTGGCATATCTTCGGCATGTATTACAAAGTTTCTTAACTTCGTCCACAGTAGGATCAAGTTGAACTTTGTAACGAGCCTACTCATGATAACAGATATTAGATAAGTGGAAGCCAAAACATATTTGAAATAGAAGCACATGATGAAAATATGCTCACCTTTGGTTGCCACCTTTCATACTGCATACTCAAGGTTTTCCCAATTGTTTCAAGAGCCTTTGGAGGTGCCATTGAAAATGGGTCTGCCAAAAAAGACGATATCCAAACATCCAAAAAAACAAAAAAAAAGATCAAATTCTACTTGTAAAAAGGAGTGTTTTTCTAACTTTATCACTGATGAGATAAAAGGAAAAGTAGAATATCTTAAAAACTGTTAGGTGCAAAAATTGAAGTAAATTGAAGAAATGACCAAGAATCGTTAGATGCAAAATATATAATATCTCAAATGCTAACTATTTTCCTCTCTCTTCACATGTTACATAAATTTCCAATACAATAAAAACAGAGTTAAAGAGTTCAACATCATTAACATATCCTAAAACACCTTCAGTTAAAAATTGACATGAATTGGAAGCAACTGGGACTGAATGAGGTCAGACTGGGAGACAAGAGACATGGAGAGGAAAGGAAATTATATAAAATGTAGAAGGAGAGAATCAGCATTCAAACAAGCACCTATCCAGCACTCCATTCTGGCACAAGGTGAAATCTTTATTACATCAGGAGGATCAACGCTAATATTTAAACATAACACTAGAGCCACATATCCTGTCTTCATCTGCACAAAAAGTTCACAGTTAAAGTCCACCATTTATACATGTACATATTTCAAGGATATATACACACACACATATAAAGCACCAAGCACTGATAATCTCTATTAAACAAAACAGGCATTTCCTAGTCCAAGCCCTTATCAACTAATGAAAACGCTGCCATGTAAAGAAACAAAGTTCCTTTGGTGATGTGAGATAATAGATGCATTTCCATGTAAGAACCCCAAGCATAAATAGCTGCCTCATCCCCCAACCAAAGCACTTAATTCCCAATATAAAGTGGTAAATCAAGGCACTCTAAAAAGTGTCAAAACCAAACAAGCCATCAACTACACCCTATTACCCTACCCCCATTACATTGTTAAGCTCAGATCGTGCGATTGTCAGCCAACAATCTAGTATCATCTAAATTTTTCCAGATTCATTGATGCACCGCAAGCTTCAATGAAGCACATCCATGGAGTAGAATTTTTAAGAAATTCTATAAAGTTGGGCATCTTGACAAAATAAGCCTTAATTTCATTTATCCTTTATGAAATTTTTTTACAAAAGCTAAAAAAAAGCCATGAGACAACTAAATCGCAAAGATGGCAGTCCTTTAACGCCCTACCTCAGTATGTCCAATAACTTCGGAAAGCTCACAAATCCTTTAATGCTTATCGTATTTTTTTCTCCTCTTCTATTTTCTACTATTCTAGTACAACTCCAATCTAACTCTCTTGTTTTACTTTGCATAAGATCTAGCACAACCACTTCCAAGCTCACACTGAAATGGACCGATGTTGTAGCTTGATGATCAACTGAAAAGTAATCACATCTTATTCATGAAAGGAATCTCATAACAGATCTTAAATGCATTCTCTATAAACAATGAGGTAGATAAAGTCCAAGCAAAATGAAATATGTAAGAAGCACACCAAAACGAGATGCAAAATATTGGTGCCAAGAAATTGACAAGCGTTTCCATACTTAAGTGGAAGAATGGGACAAAAAAATACATGTCCAAGATAATTGAGTCCACCAGGAACTTCAGAACGTTGAAATTTTGATAGGAAACGCAATGGCATTGGTAGATAACAAAAAATAGGAGCTAGTGTAAGCCATGGTTAGTAATAGAAGATGATAGAAGAAAGATGCAATAGAACAGATGGATAAATGGTATAAACCTCAGTAAGTAAACATTACCAGAAAGAGAAATGAGGATGGCATCGTTGTCGATAAGAGCCTAAAAGATAAAAGCATTGTGCTATAATTGAACATGGTATTCAGAGAGAAGAAAGTGAACATCACTAGCTCTTATACCACAACAAGGATTGGATGAAAGCATTCCATAGTTTTATTTTTAAAATAAGATGTGAGCTTAAGGGACACCTAATCAGGGATATTTTTCTTGATTACATGTGCAAAGCCAGGAAAAAATGATTTCAAAAGGACAAAAACGGCAACTGGCTCCAGAACAGAAATGAGGAATGGAAGGCTGTTTTATAGCCTCATGCAATGATTGTTAAGCTAACCAATTAATAAAGATATGTAATTTTGGACATGATAGGGAATACAGGGATGAGAAAGAATAAAGTTATTCACTATGAGTTTATGACAGCAACCAAGTACCAGATGAACAATATAATAATTCCATCACATATCAGCATTACTCTAATGTTTTGGCCAGTGATATCTACAGACCACTAAAACTTTCTTCTAGAGATTACATGGTTATTCCATCGAACTCAGAAAAGCAATGACTTCCATTCAGCCTCTAATATCTAATAACTTGATAAAACGCCCAAAGTTCAAAACTATCTTATTGTAACAACCGGATTGTTAATCCAAATAGCTGTTCTATCTACCAATCACCTAATTGAACTAAATCTATCACTTGATGTGATACATTTATTCAGTATAATATCAACTAGCAAGAAAAACCTAAAAGGATAACACACGCTTATTACCATCCGATTAATAACAAAATTTATAGTGAAACTGAAGGCTTACTCGGTCCTTAGGCCTCCATTTGGATACAAGGCCACTGTCGGATGGACCAGTAGGCACAGAAGCTTCAAATGCGTCATGCCGAAGCTCACAGAGCACAACAGTCTGGGGAAAATAGGCCATGCTCGTAGTAGTAACAGCAGCATTGCCATAACTACTGCTAGCAGTCTCTGAATCTCTCCTTTGCGAGACCAAATCTCCAGCATCCTCGACATGACTGGAAGCATAGTCGTCGTAGTGATTGGACACAACAGCCACAGAAGATTGCGAAAACCGAGACGCCATCAAATCCCCCAATGCCATCCAAATCCCCAAAATCCCTCAAAAATGTAAAATAAATAAATAAACAAATAATATACAAAACTCCAATCAAACCAAAGCAAGCAAAGAAGCAATCAAGGTTGCCCTAATCTCGAAACCATATCAAACGAAATGGAGCTCCAAACCCTAGGCTTGGGAATGATGCGTGACGCGTTCAGGGATCAAAGTGAAAGAGATGGTTTAGTGGGGAAAAAGTGAGGCCCTATAAACCCAATTCTAATCAACAAAACCGCTGAACCAGCGGCGCATGGAGATTCGCCAGATAAAACAGAGAGAATCCAGCTCGTAAGGTGACAAAAAACCCTCGAAACCCTAACTTTTGGCGAGTATATGGAGGAGGACGAGGAGGCGGAGGATGGTGATGATGATGGAGGCGCATAGAACAGTGGCGGCAGAACAAAAAGAGAAAAAGAGGGGGGCGATGAAAATAGGATTTTGTCAAGTAAGAGAGAGAAGATGAAATGTAAGTGTGTGTGTATTTTGGTGTATGTTTAATTTTTGTGCTCCTGCCTCCTGTGACCTGTCTCTCATTTTCTTTTCCCTTTTTCTTAATTAATTTTCTTTTTAGAAAATAAATAAATTTATTTTTCCTAATTACTTTGTCTTTTTATGTCAAAATTCGAAATTACTGTCTTTGATTACATTTTTCACTTGCTTGTATACGTCTTTAAGGCGGTTTTTTTTTTTTTTTTTTTTTTTGATGTCAAAATTCGAAAATTACTGTCTTTGATTACATTTTTTCACTTGCTTTTTGGTAATACGTCCTTTTAAGGCGGGTTTGTTTTTTTTTTTTTTTTTTTTGAAAATCAGTGGTACGTTTAAAATAAACTTGATGAATCAAAGTTTATATACAAAATCCAGAAAAAGAGAATCACTCGTGTGTTTAATTAACGTCTATTCCATAATAGTTTTTAAACATTAACTTTTAATATGTTTGACTATAATCAAAATATTAATGTCCTTAGTTATTGAATTCTATGATGTTATTGTACTTTATATTAATGAAATGCTAGAACTAACTGATAGTTACCTGAAATATTTTAATATTTGACATGGAACGCTAGGGAGCTAGCTGATAGTTTATTAAATGAGCTTAATTTTGTCAAAAATAGTATTAGGTTTACTTGTATCAATAAAGGGTTATTGATAGTTGATAGCTTGCTGTTCAACAATTAGGTTTAAAAGAATGAATATTTGTGTTTTTGATATATTATTTAATAATGGTTGGCTACTAAAAAAATGGAAATGACTATTAAAATATAATTAGTTTATATATTTATGACCTATAGTGGGTATATTTGTTTAACTTTTTAAAGTTAAACTAAATATTTTTATTTTAAACGTATTTGTATACTGAAAACAGGTTAATTAAGTTGTTGGAAATAATGATTTTAAAAAATTATTAATTTTTAAATAATGGATAAATAAATAATCCACAAAAATACTAATTTGTAAAAAATATTATTAAATTATTTTTTGAACCCAAACTTAAAAGTTAAAATGGAAGTCGAATATAATATAAAATGTAATCAGGCTATTAGTCTAAATAAAAAGTTCAGAAGAATATAAGGGATGGAATTTAGAATTGAGACTTGTGTTTAGCTTCATAGAATCATTAAACCTCAAGACAATCTTAAAATCTTGAAAAAACAATTGTAAACCAAAAAAAATATTATCAAAAATTTGCTAATTTTTTTGGGAGAATAAAAAACTTGGAAGCCATATCAAAATTGGAGATGTTGGATTGGGTATAAAATAATTATTGAAATTGCACCACATTTCATTGTGCAAATTATTTTTTTATTTTAATGAAAAAATCATTGAAATCGAATTATTTTTACAATTAATGTGACTTTACTTAATACACACAACTCAATCTTAAAAAAAAAAAAAAACTTAAAAAAACGAAAAGCAAAAGAGATTAGATTAAGGTGGTGGGTTAAAAATTATTGTGTAATTTGTATTATGTTATTTTGAATCTATTAAGTTTCCCGCTAATAATGAAAAAATAATTATTT